TTGTTCCACTGTCTTGCTAGATTTTGACCTTGTTCCTTTCCTACAACTCTTTCATCTTCCAAGTCACACTTATTACCAACCAGAATCATGGGAACCTAAAAAGACATTTGTGAGAATAAAAATAAATAAGTATGTATATTAACAAATTCAAATAAAAAGAATTCTAAGAGTTAACCTTAAAGATTACTTTTCCTATGGTGTCAGATACAATATGTAATAAAATTTACACTTAAAATATGAAAGCCTTAACAACATTAATTTGTAAGACTGAATGAACTAGTATTGGCTTTCAGGTCAACTGCGCTGTCAATTATTTCCACTGCCTTCTCTTCTCATGGAGATGTTAAAGGATAATTCCAAAGGGAACTAAAATGGACATAACTTAGGCAATGTAGACACAAGTAAGAACCTTTAACAAAAAAATTTTAGAAAACAATGAATGTCATACTTACAAAAGAGGGTTAAAATGTATAACACAATGGATTTACAAATAATTATGGTAATCAAAAAAATACAACCTTTATAAAAGGAAATACAAAGGAGTTACTGTGAAAGTAAATAAAGGAGAAATTTGGCCCCCAAAGTAGAATTTTTAGTTTCTCATGTAATCTGATATTAAACAGTCATAAGGTTTAATCAACTTAATTTACTAAAAATCAAGGCCATTATTAATGGCACAGTGTGTTTGCATTATGTGATATTTGTAATTTTAAAAGAACACTATAGGCAAATATAATGCTTATTCTACCAAACCACTACCAATCATTTTCAAATCAGTTTTCTAAAGTATTTTGTGGAAAATAAATCCAAACAAAACCTCAAGAATTCTGGCTTTTTATGAGGTATTTAATAAATATTTGTTTAATGCAAGTGATAGGAAAATAAAAATGTAGACTTTCCCCAAACTTCCTTGTTTTAGATGTTCAGAAAATGGCAGCATTTACCATCAGTGTGTCTCAACTCTTATAATATTAGCTCTAATTAAAGTATAGTACAACATTTCTTATCATGTAGCATCAACATCACCTGGACATTTGTTGGAAATGCACAATTCAGGGTTCTATTATAGGTCTTCTGAGTCAAATTCTGAGGTGGTTGGGCCAGCAATTTATGTTTTAACCAGTCCTACAGGTAATTCTGATGCATGACTTATTTTAGGAATCACTATTACAGATAGTGAAGAATTAAAATAATTTCCTTTAGGTTTCTTATTAACTGCATTACAGTACGTTCTGAAGGGCTGCCTTCCTTTTATAATTATTATTATGCTGCTCCTCTGTCACTGCTGCTTGGTATGTTTACATTTATTTACATCAAATCCTTATTTCAAAGGCTCTTAAATCTATCAGAAATGTGACCAGAAGATTATTTGCTCTATTAGTAACATTTACATCCCATATTCCTCCCCACAAAATGCATTGTTTAAAAACAGAAGGGTTTATCTGGGTGTGGTGGTGTAGGCCTGTAATCCCAGCAGCTCAGGAGGCTGAGGCAGGAAGACTGTGAGTTCAAAACCAGTTTCAGCAAATTAGCCAGGCCCTAAGCAATTCAGTGAGATCCCGTCCTAAATTAAAACACAAAAAAGGGCTGGGGACATGACTCAGTGGTTAAGTGCCCCTGAGTTCAATCCCCAGTTCCAAAAAAAACAACAACACAACAACAAAAAAACCATAACATTTAATTTTCACAAGATAATGAGAAAATAGGGAATATAATGATATTTGAAAACATGTAAAGATACATTTGTGCCTTTTTTAAAGAAAAAGGTTCTGAACCCTTAACCCAATACACAAACTTCAAATTTGATTTAAATTTAAACTTTAAAATTGAATACACTATAGTAAGGGATATGAAATAAGTTATTACTAGGAAGTCAGCTTACATCATCAGTGTCTTTAACTCGAAGAATCTGTTCTCTCAGATCTTGTAAATCATTAAAGGTGGACTGTGCAGTGATGGAATAAACTAAAGCAAAGCCTTGTCCATTTTTCATGTACAAATCCCTCATTGCTGTAAATTGTTCCTATAGTACAAAGAAATGAACATTAAAAACCAGAATGTTTTGACAGTTAAAATCTATGATTATAACTCAATGAAGATTTTGTAGTTGTAACACTTCTTAAAATTAGTCCACAGCAAGTTATTATTTGAAAAGTTGGAAGCCTATTTAAAAATACTTATTGTGTGCAATAAATATTCAAATGGCACAGAAATATCCAACTCCAAAAGCTACTTAGAGGTAGCTTTTTAAATATATCATGAAGTGTAGCGCTTCCTAATTGTATCCCACAATTATAGCCAGCTCACAACACTCTTGTTAGGTGGGTCTATCAGAATGCTTACCTACATTTTGCCACGTCCTCACACTTCTCCTTCACTGACTATGAGCATTTGAGGGTAAGAACAGTGTCTGGCGAATCTCAGGTACTCAAACATTAGCTGAATGCATACCATACACCCAGAATAAATCTTCCCTTTATCTTTGGATACTTGCATGTCCCTTGTCTCTTGCTATGTGATGCTCTGGACTACCTCCAGACTGTCCAAAAGAAGGCATCATAATAATGTGATCCCTAGAACTTGTGCCTCCAGAATTGTGAGCCAAAATAAATCTCATTTCTTTATAAAGTAAGCCTGCCCTGGGTGTTTCACAATTGTAATGGAAGAACTAATATACTGGCCTATAAATAATTTGATGGAGGAAAGATATCAATGAAATCAGTACAGTGCCACTGAGGAACAATGCATGCCCAAGTATTTTACACATTATTTGAAATATGGTAATATATTGTCTTAAAAGTATTAATGAGGGCTGGGGATATAACTCAGTTGGCAGAGTGCTTGCCTCACATGTACAAGGCCCTAGGTTCAATCCCCAGCACCACACACATGCAAAAAGAAAAAAGTATTATATTTTCTATGAAAATTGTCATTCTAATAATTTTTCTAAATTCTTCAACAACTGATGCACTGCAATTAAAAATATTTTAATTTGGAACAATCAATTTAAAAAAAAATTTTTAAAAAGTAGAATCCAGACTATGAAAATAGTAGCTTTAAATATTGATTCAAGTAATACTTAAGTAAACTAATATTTGCATATAGAATAATAGCATTTACAAATCAATATTGTACAAACTGCATAAACTTTGGTAATTTGTTTACATACATACCGTTCCTGCAGTATCCAAGATTTCAAGCATACATTGTTGTGCATCTACTTCAACTTGCTAGAAAAAATTAAAATACCTTTATTTTTTTATATATATAAAAGACTACCTTAAATAAATGAAACACAAAAGCTAAAATTAGAAACAGGGAAATTATGGCAGTTTTACTAGGTAATTATTGAGCAATAACAAGCCTCGGTCTCAAAATCATTCAACTCAGCACTTAATTCTGGATAAGAAATGATATTAAAATAGTTCAAGTAAATGAAAGAATAAAACAACCAATAACTTCAATACTACCAATAGTGATTTTGTCTATCAACTCTCCCATTATTCTTTAGAGGTCCCTTTTCTTTAGATGTACCTCTTTTCACCTAATATTTTCTAAGGGGGAAAAGTTATTTAGAATCAAGTCAAAGACAAAGTAATTTCACAGTTGGGGAGCAGGAAGGAGTTTCCAGTGTTTTTGTAGACTTGAACATAGGTAGAAAAGGAAACACCATATTTGTGAAGCAGCAGGGGCCAAAGTGGCTGCTATCTAAAGGTAGGGAGACAATTACTAAATTAAAAATGTCTGCACATTGTTTTATTGTCATATGCTGTGTTATCGGATATAGGAATTCACCTACCTATTGCGAGCAGGAGTGCTTTCTCAAGGAGTATTAAGTAGGAAGGCTATGGAGACTTCTGTATTCCTATCTCTAGTTTAAAAGAAGAATAACTCATCTTTCTAGGAGTAGTGGTAGGGAACATGGGGCTGCAACTTGAAATGGGTTCTAAAGTCTGTGTCAAATTAACAATTCAGAGGTCAGGTTAAACTTAAAAGCTTTGTGAATATGTATGTATGTTTATGATTCTCTAAACTGTTAACATGCAATGCCAGGAAATACAGTTTTTCCCATTAATTTTTAAATTAACTGTCTCTTCATTCTACTGTGTATACAAACATCCAATAATTATAAAAACATTGGGCTGGGGTTGTAGCTCAATGCCATGTGTGAGGCCCTGGGTTCGATCCTCATCACCACATTAAAAAAAGAATAAATACAGGTATTGTGTCCAACTACAACTAAAAAATAATTATTAAAAAAACGTAATTATTATATTTCTACTAAAAATCAGAAGGACTTACCTTTCTATAAGAATCTTCTATCGTAGGATCATATTTTTCAACAAAAATTCCTTGAACAAATTGTACAGTCTGAAAAAAATTAACATACCATTATACATCTAAAGAACAAATCCAAATTTGCAAATTATATTCTACATTTGATCCTCTGTATCTGTGGGTTCCACATTCTCAGATTCAACCAATCGAGGATCAAAGATATCTAGGGAATGGGGTTGGGGTGAGGAGAACCAGATTGCATCTGTGCTGAGCACACTCAGACTTTCTTAGAATCAGGTACAAAGACAAAGTAATTTCACAGTTGGGGAGCAGGAAAGAGTTTTTGTAGACTGTGGACACAGGTAGAAAAGGAAACACCATATTTGTGAAGCAGCAGGGGCCAAAGTGGCTGCTATCTAAAGGTAGGGAGACAATTACTAAATTAAAAATGTCTGCACATTGTTTTATTGTCATATGCTGTGTTATGGGACATAGGAATTCACCTACCTATTGTAAGCAGATTTCCTGAACAATCCAGTATGAAAGCTATTTATGGCATTGGGTATTATAGTTTTATGTATAAACTTACATACAATCAATATACTTCTCCAGTACTTTAGATACAATTGAAAAAGTAGTTCATACCATATTATGTACACTTAATTGGATTCAAACATGAAATTCTTTGCTAGGTGGCCACCTGAAGTGGCCAAGTAAGATGGTTTATCTCACCAGGGAGAAAGAAAATGACTTTTTATAAGCTTTGACATTTTTAACACAATATATATAGTATAAGCTTACTCACAAGGAAAAATCCCCAAACCCCCATTCCTATCTGGTCCTCAAATGCAGACACATATTTATATGCTCTCACTCTCTGTACTTAGCCCAAACAATGTTCTGTCATACTTCAAATATAATCCAGCCAGATATAACTAAAAATTCACTAAACTATAAGAAAAATACAATATTGCATCATAAGTTATTATCACTTTAACAAATACAAATAATGAAACCTAAAACTCAATAGAAAAAGACAGCTTGGTGTGAAAAGGATAGGTTCCTTGAGAATAACTTACCAGAGCAGATTTTCCAACTCCTCCTGAGCCAAGAACGACTAGCTTATATTCACGCATGATGCAAACTTGTCAAAATTGAGTACCTTGTTGAAGAAGAAAAAATAATTTAAGCTTTATATAAATAAGACATTCAAACAAATAAATTCATTTTTAGTGCAACTAGTTCATACACATATAACACTCTAGAAAGATGAATGGGATAGGATAGGGACTACATACAAAGCAGTTTATCATCTGTTTTGTTATACAAAGTTTTTTTTTTGGATAGTGCTGAGGGGATTAAACCCAGGACCCCACTCAGGCCAGGCAAGCTGAACCTTCCAGTACTACATAAAGGGTTTTCTTTTTGTTTGTTTTGAGGTACTAGATACACCATCACTGAGCTACAACTCTAGCCCCAACCCACCTCCCGCTTGAGACAGGGTCTTACTAAGTTACTAAGGCTGCCCTGGAACTTACAATACTGCTGCCTCAGCTTCCTGAGTCGATGGGATTGATTACAGGTGTGAGCCACCATGCTCAGCCTACACTGGTTTTAACGAAACACAGTTACACGTTTGTGTACTGTCTGGAGAGTTATGTAGTTGCAGAAGAGGCCATCTGGTCCATAAAGCCTAAACTATTTACCTGGTCAATCCCTGGAATAGATAAATGGTAAATGTAAATAAGCTGGCAGAGAGAGCAAAAAACCCAAATACATATTCCTAAAATAAGGGAAAGGTACACAAAGGGAACCTGAAAATCATGTGGAATCAGAAGCAGAACTGAAGAATATGAGTTCCTAGTCTATAAAAAAGTTTACTGAGTATTCAGTATGATAAAAAGTGGAAACCAAAAGAAAATAAAATATGAAAATAAAAATGAAGTCAAGCAGAAACAACCCTTACAAAGGCTAATTATTATGAAATATTATACTAAAAAAGGATGATTCTCAAAATTTCCAGGAGGGGACATTACATGAAAATAAAAAGTTCTCACATTCCTGGAAAAAACTAAATGGTCAGTAGCCTCAGTATAAAAGCAGTCACCAGAACAGATTTTAAACCTTCTTAATCAAGAGATGACAGTTCTTCCATGGCAACAAGCCTAGAACTAGTTTAGACAAATTTAATCAACCAATAAAAATTTATCCCAGAATGCTTCTGTAAACAACCAAACAGTGATGATTCCTTACTCCTGAAAGTCAGCCAGACAAAAATTGACTCACTTCAATGAAAACATCTGAATGCCAACCATGTCTCACTTGAGTGACAGTGCTTCCTCAGCTGACATTCACGCCTAGTCTTTGAAAGTTTATGGATCTTTAAATTTCATAATTCCCCCAAACCCTATAAGACCAGTAGTCTGCTTTGCCCAGGATGATGTTTTGATTTAGTAATCAGGTTTTTGTATTATATCAGATACTGAATATTATATCATCATTTCAGTTTACTTAAGAACAAGATTTGGAATAATTTGAAACAGGTTACCAAAAAGCTCCTCCTGTCCAACTTGTTCTTTAACTTATCTCAACATTAATGGGCACTCCAATTTGGTTCCTTGAGCTTATATTCCTCAATTAGTTGTTGTATTAGGATTTGTAACCATGTAGGTCTTTGTATAAGGCAATGAAGCCTTTAGGTTTTGATGTGGAATTGTACTATATGGTAACTATTTTTTGTCATTAGTTTTAATTCTTCACCTACTTAGTTGACTTTTATTCATCTATTTATGAAAAAAAAATGTATCTCCATGTTTTATTTTGTCCTGCGTTGTTTTATTTCCATTTACTGAATAAGAAAGTGCTGCTCCACAGGGAACAAATGGCAACGCAAGCCCCAGAAAACTTCTAATCCAATGCAAGCTGGCCTGGAACACTCAAAGAGTTTTAAAACCGGTAACCAACTCGGGAAAAGGTTAAGTGACTGTTAAACTTGAAACATTGATAGCAACCACTATCCTATCAATTTATAATTATTCTGTTTAGCCCATTATCATAGTAATTGCAAGGCTGTTAATTTTTTTGAATACACTAATCAAAATTTTTAATTTGTGGGAACACTTTACATCCAGTGAAACAAACAGATCTTAAAAATTACTTATGCCAACATATGTGTAACCTATAGTCACACCCCTCGTTGAGATAAATAAATAAAATAAAGGTATTGTGTTCAACTACAACTAAAAAAAATAATAAATACTGGGGCTGGGGATGTGGCTCAAGCTGTAGTGCGCTTGCCTGGCATGTGTGCGGCTCAGGTTGTGTCCGCTGAAAACTAAAAATAAATATTAAAAAATTCTCTGTCTCTTTTCCAATGTGTGGAGCTGAGGATGTGGCTAAAGCAGTAGCGCTCTCACCTGGCATGCACAGGGTGCTGGGTTCGATCCTCAACACCACATAAAAATAAAATAAAGATACTGTGTCCACCTAAAACTAAAAAATAAATATTAAAAAAAATTCCAATGTGCCTTTCTCAACTATCTCAAGAAACTTTCTTTAGTAACCGCTTTCTTATTTATCATGAGTTACACTGTCAAAGCTATAATCAGCCCAGGCATGGTGGCACAAGCCTACAATCTCAGCAACCTGTGAGACTGAGGCAGGAGAATTGCAAGTTCAAAGTGAGCCTCAGCAACTTACCAAGAGCATGTCTCAAAATAAAAAGGACATGTAGCTCAGTGGTTTAAGCGTACCTGAGTTCAATCTCTGGTATAAAACAAAACCCCCAAATCATTGCCACTTCTTAGAAAAATTCCTTTCTTTTTTATACTTCCCTAAATAACCTTAACTTCTATATTTACATGGTCAATGATAAAAATCATTAACTGGAGTTAGGGCTGACTTTTCAAATATCATAATAGTTTAAGAATATAACTATTTAAAAATTATGAAACAAAGTGCCATTCAATAATCAACTTGGGTGTGTGTGTGGGGGGGAGGCGGATAGTGGGAATTATACCCGAGGTGCTCTACCTCTGAGCTATAACCCTGCCCACCCCCTTTTGAGAGAGAGAGAGAGAGGGGGGGGGATTTTTTAATATTTATTTTGTAGTTTTCGATGGACACATCTTTTTTTTTTTTATGTGATGCTGAGGATCGAACCCAGCGCCCCGCACATCCCGCACATGCCAGGCGAGCACGCTACCACTTGAGCCATATCCCCAGCCCCAACCCTGCCCCTTTTTGAGACAGGGTCTGCTAAGCCCCAGGACTTAAACTTGTGATCCTCCCACCTCAGCCCACAAAACAGCTGGGATTACAGGTGTATATCACTGTGCTCGTTTAGTAATCAACTTCAACTGGTATTCTGAGGCCTCAAACTAAAAATGACTAAGATACTTTCCTCTGCTCAAACCTTCAGAGATCTTGAATCATTCTTTTTATACTATGTACATATTCTTTCTATTCCTCCTCCTTCTGCTCCTTCTTCCCCTTATCTGTGAAATAAACTACCTTTCTTGTGGGTTTCTTAGAAAGAAACAATTATACAAAAGCCCCTCCAAACTGCTAGAATAGAAGGCATTATCTATAGAAACTGAATTTAAATTCTGGTCTAGAACTTAGTTGATCTCGATCGTCAAGAATTTCCACAAACCTCAAAAAGACTGAAAGAAATATGCTGTAGAATTCAGGAATCTGTTAGCTACTTATGTTCTGTAATGCCAGATCTACACCAACTAATTACTAAGTCCCTCAATACAAGGAAATGTTTAACAGTAGGATAGGAAAGACTATTTAAATAACCAATCCCATTTTAAAGACTGACCTTTAGAAAATAAGAATCTATTTAGGAAATACACTATTAGAGAAATTTTTTGTAGGGATGAATTAATTTAGAAAGCCTATAGTGGCTAAGATTTTCATAGAGCCTTACAAAATAAACTAGCTACCAAAAAAACCTAAACCCAAATGTCACTGTTTTCTGAGAAATGGAAGCCTATGGACGAGGACACTCACTCAAACTGCAAGAGTCAATGTTTCATGTTTACCAAGAAACTGAAGCACAATCTAAAAATCTGTCCAGTAATGGTGCTTCAAGGGAAACAGCACATAGTTCCCTATCCTTCCTGTCCTGGGAGTAGAGGTGGGATTGACCACCTTAGTCACAGGCAATCTTTTAGAGTGATGAAACCCCAAACATAACACAACTGACTGAACCAACATAAAATCACCATTTAAAAACATTAAATATTAAAAGGAAACATTTATGGGAATTGTCTTTTTTTTAAAGTAATTTTTATATTTCCTTATCTCACAAATAAGGATAATTGAATTGGTGGTGGAAGCTGCATTTCTTAATGATAGGTAGGACATTTCCCCATTTCTACCTTTATCCATGAATATTACTTGTTGCTAAAATGAGGCGCTAGAGATGTAGCTCAATGGTAGAGCACTTGCCTCACAAATGCAAAGCCCTGGGTTCAACCCCCAGTATCTATCTTTCTCTCTCACACACACACACACACACAATGAGTCAGGTTCTTCCATATTATTGTCTACTGGTAACTTGTTACTTTTATTACTGCTGATTAAAATGTCTATTTTATGGATGTATGACATTTTCTTTACCCATTCATACCAGTTGATAGGCATCTGGACTGCTTTCAGTTTGGTTCAAATAATGCTCATAAACTTGTTTTGATTTTAATAACTATACCACTAAGTTTTCTTTTTTCTTGTTTTCTATTTTAGTACAGTAGGTAACTGTGATTGACAACAATCAATTGAATTTCAAATAACTAGCAGAAAGGATTTTGAGTGCTGCCAACACACGGGAACCATAACATGTGAGGTGACAGATATGCCTATTGCCCTGACTGATCATTACATACTGTAAATAAATGTATTGAAATGTCACAGTACCCTATCAATATGTATAATTATTACATCTCAACTAAAAATAAAAAACATTATTATTTTCAAACAGTAAAATAAGGCCAAAATGAATATTTTCAAACACAAAAATATGACAAAATACAGCTGACTTGCTGATAAAGAACTTTCTTTTCTTGTGGTGCTGAGAATGGAACCCATGTGCATGCTTAGACAAGTACTCTATCACTTATATAACAGTCTATCAGCTATAACCCTCAGCCCCTCTAGTTTTAAAATCTGTACTTTCTAACACATCAGCCTTGAAAAGACTCTAATAATGAACTAATATTCACTAACATTGTGAATGCCAAATCTGAGTGGCAATGGCCATCAGTAGTTCTGTTTTCAAAGATGGTTGCATCTAGTTTTAGCAGAAAATACAAGTATGTTCAATAAGGAATACTATCACTGGTTGGCCTGTTTATTTGTGAGATGTAAGCAAGCCTTCCTGTTCAAATGTTGATTCAAAGTACTCAAAGAATGAGTACTTTGCAATGTGTGAATATCTTAAAATTTCACGCACAATTTTAAGACAAGTTACATAAAATTTTTCAATGGGATTTGTGATAACTACTATCTGAGACATTGAAATTAACCATTCTCTTTCATAGAGCCTCAATGGGGGACAATTTTGACAGCATAGCATAGCTATGACACTTGAGTTTTTTTTAAAAAAAAATATTTAGTTTTTCAGGTGGACACACCATCTTTATTTTACATTTATGTGGTGCTGAGAATCGAACCCAGTGCCTCACATATGCTAGGCGAGAGTACTACCACTTGAGCCACATCCCCAGCCCCT